TTCTAGTGTTTCATTAGTCTGTTAGTACTAAATAGCGGTTATGCATGTCTATAGATATCTTGCTGGCTAAGCTCATTAGCATTAACTAATAACTTTACTGCCTTGTACAACTACATGACAACTTCTAGCTAAAAGGAAGCTAACATAAAGACCACATCTATTTTTTTAAACACAATCTTTGCTGGAAAACTGTTTAAAACAGTTGATTGGGCTCTGAGCTGAAGCTAGCTGACAGATAGTCTAACTTAGCCATAAAGAGACTGTTCAAAGCTAGAATACTGCTATTTCTAAAATAGACCTATGGTCTTTATGTAGTTTTGTTTTGTTGTTTTTAGTTTTTTCAAAGAAAAATAGAGAGAAAATCAAAAGGAGCAAACCCTGGCTGGTCTGTCTTTATTTTATATTTGTTTCCTAAAGACACAGCTGGTTTGCCTGATAAGCTGACAGCTAGCAAGACATATAAGCAGGGATTTGACATTGGGTTTTCATTACTGAGCCTAAGGGTTCAGCTGACAAATGTCCTGCAAACACATAGGAGACATTGTGATACTTTTTCATATGTTGTCTGATAGTGAATTGATGCTAATCTCTGGTGCCCACCTATTACATTTCACTATACTCTTGACAATTTTTGAGTCTGAACAGCAACTTGAATTAATCATATGCAAACAACTTTGGCTTTTGTGGCATTTCTATTTTAACTATGATGTTAAAAAAAATCACAGTGCTTACTGTTTTTTCCAGTTTTACTAAATTAAGTATCCCTGAAATGTCTCTAATATTGTCTCTGCCTGAGACAGCTATTCACTTTGAAAAGTAAAGCCTTATAGCAAATGTTAGAAAGGGTTACTTTATCTGAGGAGCTGTCGGTTACCAAATTTAAGTTTTTATATTTTTACCTAACTGTGGTGAGCTCAGGTATTCTTTTAGTTAGTTGGTGGACTGCTTTGACTCTACAGTCCTCAGTTAGCATGTTAAAGTTCCTGACAGCACAATTAGAAAATAACTGGACAAGTGTGGCTCATTTGGAAGTGTTACTAGGAGAAAGTCTCTTCTCTCTAAAAGGAACAAGGCAGCAAGGCTTAGGCTTCCAGAGTCGCATCTGATAAAGACACAAGACTTGTACAAATGAGACCAAAAGTGGAGATGTTTGGCCATAATGCTCAGAGCCAGATTTGGCAAAAAACAAACACATCAGAATAAGCACCTTGTACCAACTGTCACGCACGGTGGTGGAGGGGTGATGATCTTGGCTTGTTTTGTAGTTACAGGACCTGGGTGCCTTGCAGACATTGAGTCGACCTGTATACCAAAGTATTATAGAGTCAAATGTGAGGCGAACCCATCTACCAGCTAAACCTTTGCCAGAACGAGGTCATGTAACAGGAAAATGATCCCAAGCACAGCAGCAAATGTAGAACAGAATAGCTGAAAAAGAAAAGTCCAGACCTCAACCTGATTGAAATGCAGCGGTGGGACCTTAAGCTGTGAATAAACGAATGGCCACAAATGCCAATGAACTGAAGCAATGCTGTAAAGAAGAGTGGGCCAAAATTCTTCCACAATGATGTAAGAGACTGATAAAGCCATACAGAAAATGGTTATTTCAAGTTATTGCTGCTAAAGGTGCTTCTACCAGCTATTCAATCATGGGGACTGAATAGAGGTCTGTGAAAACTCTTTCACAGGACTGTAAACTACAGAGTCTTGTTGATGTATAAATGCAAAGTTTGGTACAAACTAAAGGACAAAACCAGAAACTTGGTCTTTAAATTATAATGAACTGATAGATTGGGTAGTTCCAGTTAATCATTTCCAGAGAGGTCTGAGATCTGGAGGGTTCCTCACCATTAGACTTGTACTGATATCTTGGTGAGTACAATAATCATATTATATGAATAATCATCAAAAACACTCATGTGTGTGTGGTTTTTTTTTTTTTGTTTGTTTTTTAAAGGATACATTTTCATTACTGGCTCAGGCTGATAACTTGAGTGACAGTTTCACTAAAGAGATCAGTCATATAGTTACAATAATACCAGAACAGTTCTCAAGTCACGTAATTATGTGTAATAACTGTTAACCTTGCAATTTTACCACTGCCACATGTAATTTCATATCCAGAAATGCATGAAACTGGGAAAATATAAGGTGGAATTACAGATGTGACCCTGCAGCACTCTTATTCATATTTAATGAGAGAACAGGGCTTGGGGAGGACTTTTATTCTCTATGGAGGAGGCTGTGAGCCAATCAATAAGTAATATAAGGAAGACTTAGAGAGATCCACTGAATGCCTATGAGGACTGAGGCCTGAATGTATATACGAGCTCGCCTTGTGTCCTTCCCGCAGCATCTCCCTTTTTAACTTAGCTGATTAAGTAAAAACGTATTCTGTATCTCAGAAACTTCGCCGAGGCTATACTTCAGTTTATTAAATTATTTCATACTTTTTACAGATCAAATATAAGACTGACAACCAGATACAGTGCAGAACTTTTGACCATGAATGGTAAAAACCAAATGACAGCTCAAGGTCTTCCGGCATTATTGATTAAAAATAAGAGTTGATCATTTGTAAGCTGTTCAGGCTCCGTGAGGTTGAAACATAATTCTAGAAGCCCTTACACAGACCAAATCAATCATATTTTAAATCTTAAATTAAAACTGATTTTGTTTAGGTTTCTAAATAAACATTTATTATTGCTAGTTATTTTATTTAAAAAGGGAAAAAATGATCAAGTCTACTAGTTCATCTCAGAAAATGTAAATATCTGGATGGGTAAGCAGGAACAGATGGATTTATGTATGGAAACTTTCATATATTTTGGATTTATTCAATGTAAAGTGAAATATCAGGTCTTTCCTGTATTTGGCTTATAGATCATGAAAATCAGAACTCGGGCTTCTCAAATTGTGAAAATATCATACGAACATTTCCTAATATTCTGTAAAATATGTTCATTTTTATATTGAGTACTTGGTTGGGAGTCGATGCAGGATGGCATGGAGACAATCAGCTTGTGACACTGCTGAGTTGACACTGAAGCCCAGGTGGTTTTGATAGTAACAGGCCTAGGGAGCTGAATACAGTAATGACATGTCTAGCAAACAATTTGGTAATAGCTGTGGCATTGTGGGCAGGTACTAAGTCCTGGTGGAAAAGGCAATACACATCTTCCGGTAGACGACTATGTTGACTCTGGACTTGATAAAACACAGTGGACAAGCCATTCCAGCAGATTACATGGCACCCCAAATCAACCCAGATTTAGGATACTTTACACTGGTCTGGATTCTGTGCTCTCCACTACTCCTCCAGACTCTGGGACCTTGATTTCCAAATGAAATGAAAGAATGTACCTTCACCAGAAAAGAGGACTTTGGACTATTGAGCAATATTTCAGTTCTTTTTCTCCTTAGCCCAGACAAGATACTTCTGACACTGTCTCTGGTTCAGGAATAGCTTAATATCATAATAGCCCCTTTTCTAAATACCCCTGTGTGTGGTGGCTCTTGCACTGATACCAGCCTCAGTCCTTGTGAAGTTCTCTTGACAATCCACTGTTGCTTGTCCACCTTTTCCCATCATACTTTTTCCTTCCAGTTAATTTTAATACAGCACTCTGTGAACAGCCATCCTTTTCAGCAATAACCTGCTGTTGCTTACCTCGTTTGCATGAACTTCTATTATTGTTTCCCATGCTTTTCCACCAAGGTTATCCAAATTGACATCATTAAGATCATTTCCTTTAGTAAAAGTATAAATATACTACTATGAAATCGTTCATAACAAGAAAAAGTCTTTCAAAGATATAATGGAAAGACTCAAATTGCTGTACCGTATATGTCGTGTGCAAGTGACCTCTTTAGCATTTTATTGTGATTGATACATTATTGAGCAGTAAATGAGCCCTGCAGCAGGTCAAGTTGGAGCATTTTTCAATAACTATATTGTGTGCATATAACATTATAAGAGTAGTATCAGGATGGATTACTGAATAGGACTGCCAGGCACAGAGCCAGATCACATGGCCTTAGAGATTTCATTTGGCCAGAGCCCTGGTAAGACATGACTGTTAACATCTCTTGTTGGGCAGTCAATCAAACAACAAAGAGACACAAAAACCTCTTAAACAGCCACACTACTAAGAGGCACAGAACAAAAAAGTCACGATACAGATGAAAATGCCAACAGCTTTAAAGAAACACAAAATGTTTGCAGTCAAAGCAACGCGGTAAAAAAAAAAGAAGCACAGAGACAAAGATAAACCACCAGCAGGCTTTCAGTCTGGTTTTGCTGTTGTATAGCACGGATGCGGGCTTTCTGGATGAGAGTGCCCAGAAGTTTATTCTGTCATAATCAGATCTGTCAACAATAGCAGCTTAAGCTCAGAAGTAAATGTATTAAAGTGTATTGAGAGAATGTAGTAGATTGACTGCAAATCCAAACACTTATACAAGTACCTGAAAATTGTACAGTACAGTGTTGGAGTAAATAATCACGTTAGTTTCCTGCTCTGAATTTTCAGATCAATCTGACGAATAAAAGTGGCCATGTAAACTGAAAACTAGAAACTGCTGGTACACCAGCATCCCTGTCCACAGTGCAGCGAGATTTACATGTAGAGGGTGTCAATCAAGAAGGAAGCCCCTGCTCTAAAACCTTCGGCATTCCTCACTTCTGCTAAGAGGACATTAAAGATGTATGTTGTACAATCATTCCACTGTGGAAAAGGTTTAAAAAAAAATAACAATTAAAAGCCCCAAACTATTGTTGATCAGTGTATAAAAATTTCTGACCACAATTGTATGTCCTGACACACAGTGAAACTAGAACCAACTCCGAAGTATTGAAAGTATTTAAGCTGTAAACAAAGTTCTCTCTATTTATACTGCAAGTACTGAATATACTGCTTCAGTTGATCATATGTTCACTGTAGTATATGTGGAGTATAATGGAAAGTTTCACCTGTTCATGGATCAAAATTGTTGCTTACCAAGTGATTGTCCAGCAACGATCCTGGCGTTCTCTCCAGCCACGGCTGCCCGGGCATTCCTCTCGCTGGCGTACTGAACAAAGGCGTAGCCTTTGTGGACAGAACAGCCCACAATCTTGCCGTATTTGGCAAAGATGGCCTCAATGTCAGCCTTGGTTACCACGGCTGTGTTGAGGTTGCCGATGAAAACGCGAGAGTTGAGGGAGCGAGGATCATTCTTGTTGGTCACGTTGCTGGTCTGGGTCTTCCCAGTCATCCTATTCCTGCAGCAATGCCTGCAGGGAGACACAGTTGAACACTGCTCAGGAAGCCAGGAAGGTTAGATTGCAGAGGTTATACACAGAGAGTCAAACAGCGAGCAGCAGTGGGATGTAAACACTGGTCAGATCTGAGAGCATATGTTGTAAATAATTCCTCAGATTTTCTTTGTACAGGCTGAGAAACAAATCCCTTCCTAGTAAAACTGGGGTAAAAAGGCTTGCATGTTATCCTAAAGGCTTTTTGTAGACAAATCTTTAATGATTTTAGATTAGTCATATTCACGTATTTATTTATTTATTTATTTATTTATTTATTTTTAAAACTGCCACTTGTAAAAATTATAATACAGCATGTATTTGGTGTCATCTTTCCCTCCTGAGAAATTTTTATGATTAACCAAATGAGCAAAAGGACTGACAAAGAGGAAGACATTGATAGATAATAATTACAATAAATATCAAGCAAAGTTTAAATCAAACTCCAGGCACCATTGAACATAATTTTACAAAGCCAAACCTTGATTGCTGACATTTTTTTTTTCAATCATCTTTCAACTGTTTTCTCACTTAATCATTTAAAACATCAAAAAATAAAATAAGGTAAGAGAGAACTCTTTCCTGGTGTCTATTTTTTTTAGTTGATAAAACCCAACAATATTCAGTTTGCTGACATAAAACAAAGAAAAAAACAAGAAAATCTATAATTTAAAAAATGACTGACAGTAACTTTGGATTTACTCCGCTGCTTATATATTTTTAAACTAATTCCTTGATTGTGGAAGCAAAAATCAAAAACCCAATGAAAATGAAATACATTTAAAATGTCTGAACAGACTGATTTTGGTTATTTTTGCCTAAACTGCTATTTTAAAATTCTACATTATTTATTTCGAGTATTCAATGAATCACATGGTTACAGCTCATGAGTCGTTATGCTGCTTATGCTGTTATTATCCTTGTCTAAGTGTTCACTTGTACTTGTGCCTACCTCAGTGAGCATGGAGACTGAGACAGATTGCTGTCTGCAGGAGGGGAGAGGAACTCTGACACGGAGGCGGCTGTGATTCAGGCGTGTGAATCTGATAGATCTCACTATATATGTGAACTGTGTTCCCACATTTGAAAATAGCACATCACACTGAAGTCACAAGAATCCCCACTCACTGTTTTACCCTTTTCTTTTTTTTTTTTTCCTTTTGAGTCTCTTCTATATGCAGTGCCAGAGGTGGCCTTTATACTCCAACTGAGTATTTCACATTATAATCACTATGTTCATCTTTTTCACAGCGTTTCAAAAAGGAGAAAATGGAGTATTATATATTGTTACCGCTATGGTTGACACATTGTTTCTATATACATGTTCATGTGATAAATAAAGCACACCCTACTTATCAGCACATTAAAAAAGTCCTTAGCAAGTCTTAAAATTAGGTAAATATACCAACATTATTTATTTACATCCATTATTTATTTATTTACCAAAAACTAAGTGCAAATGCAGAAGTATGTTAATGTTCATGACAGTACGTTTACCTTGTTTGTAAAGGATGCCATGAGAAAGTGTCTTTTTTTTCTAAAAACAGCATGGCAACACAGCTTAGGATCACATTATACATGCCGCTTTGGTTGCTTTGCACATTGCTATTGATGTTGCATTCACTTGAATGATAGGTGTGAGGCCCCAGACATCAGCACTGGTATAGGAGGAGAAATCTAATCTTTTCAAACTTTTGCAATAACTCTCTCTGTATACACTGTGAATTCTGGGCTTGTACTGATATATCATTAAACTGGTGGTTTAAAAAATCGACACGACAAACTGGCTGTATCGCTAGCAACCAACATTCAAGGTGTAGGTAATTGGTGCACAACCGGCCAAAACAAGTTTGAAGCAATGGTGTAAATATGAGTGTGCCAAAATTCCTCCACCGCCATGTGACAGACTGATAAATTCATACAGAAAACAATTACTACATGCTAAAGCAGCTAAAGGTCATTCTACAAACTCAAACAAATAAATGACATGGTGTAACACGTTGTTGTATTTAGATTTTTTTTAACAAGCAAAAACACAGATTTTTTATTATATCCTGATAAACACCTGATAAAACCTTAGACTTGAGAGGTGTACTTTCTTTTTTTACATGACTGTATATGTACAAACTTGCTTTGTGTAAAAGGTACCAACCTCCCAGGTTATCAGCATTAAACTTGTAGTATGTCATTATATTTGCATCATAATATCACAAATGACATTTAACTGCATAACCACTACTTATGCTTAGGTTAAGTACTCTTTGAATGAAAGATTTATTTGAGTGCAGCATGGTATGTGAAAGCATGTGAATATTTTAACCACCAGAAGAAGAATTACTTTCAAACAGAAACCAGGTCAACAGAAATAAAGATAATTTAACTGGACTCCTAACATTAATTTGCATTTAAGCATAAAGCCAATAGGTCATCTAGAATTAATCTTAGGGCAATCCTTCTGTAAACATCAGCAGCACATCATGATCTTTTTACCTCTGTGGAGCCTGCACTGTTTGCTCCTATCATGCCACAGTCCTGGGAGACGAGCATAAAGATGTGCACCACAATAATCGGACACATCCACTTCAAGAGGAAGGAAGAAACTTTCAAGTTGTTTCTTCTTGGAATTCCCAGTTGGTGGTGGTCTTTGTTTGTGAGTGAGAGTGTGTAATGAGGCTTTCTTAACCCAGATTTCACAAAGTGTAGACACATTGCCATGCAGGATAAGCTCTCATGAGGCTATAAGGACAGAAGTGAGTCCCAGTGGTTAGCGCTGTTACAGCTACTCACAGAGAGTAGAGAGATTAATTATTAATACTAAGAATTATTTGACTAGATTTAGATATATATATATATATAGTCATCAATTAATTTACAATCTCTGTGGTTTAAGCTTCTTAATTGAGAGGGTGCTCTGGGTTGTTCTTGTGTTATGGAGCTTTAAAAAGTCTCATTAGTAGATTTTATTTCCTGTACTGAGTCAAGTTAGCTGTCTTTGTGCTAGGCTAAGCTAATCACCTGCTGGATGAGCGTCTTCTTCTAATTAAACACTAAAGCTAATGAATCTAAAAATCTCGTTTTATAGAATCTAAAATATTTACTGTTTTCTATATAGTACTTGCTAGCTGATGTGCCTCTTATGAATATATTTAATTGCTTGATTTTGCTGCACAGTGAAATCAAATGACCTGAATATAAAACATATACAAAAAGAGGTGCAGTTATATCCATAGGTATTTTCTCAGAAATATTTTCCCTGCTGGAGGTGGAGTGCGAGCATGTCGAGTGACAGTTACTCTAAACATCTGCACACATATACACCAACACAGACGCACTGACTGCAGTCAATCCTCTCTCAGGTTCCCCTCGCGTCACAGCTTCCCCCATCCTCCCCAACCGCTTCTTTACTTCCATCCTTTGCCTCCACCCACATATAATCCACTCTAAATCTCCTCTGCTGCTCTTTAAAAAAATCTCCTTTTGCACAACAGAGAAGAGTAGATGAATTAAAACTGGTGCAAGTCCCATATTACGGTAGTGCTGTGAGTTTGGAGTTAATTGACTTAATTATCAGTAGTGAGAGAGCAGGAAGCTGACACTCTATCCAATCAAACCTCAAATCCCATTCACTCCATCTCTACCTTTTGAATGGTATCGCACCCCCAACACCTTACCCAACCTGCGGAGTGACTGATGGATGTGGAGTGCACTGAATGGCCTCTTTGAGGCAAATGTACAGAGGTGAGGCCATTAGATGGAAGATAGTTGATTAAGCAGGAGAATATTTTAAATAGATTTAATAAGAGAAAATGTGATTCAGACAAATGCTGAGCACTGAATGAAAGAGGTGGCATTTGCTTATTAAATACTAGTTAAGCGGTTTAAATGCACAGTGCTGGAAAGACTACAGTAGTTTGTAAATAATTTTTTTTAGGTATTATATATTTATTCATTACATACAGTGGAGTGGGACATGCTAAATGGAATCTGCTGTTTCTTACATTTAATTAATGGACACTCAGCATTAACCCTACGATGTAACCTACGCCATAACAGATGCCATAATTGACATGCAGCTCCCTGGAAAATCGAGCTACACATCATGTTGATGCAGCCTACAACTATTGTGTTTGGCCTGTTCAGTACTGTCAATCCCTCCTGGGTTTCCAGATACTTCTTTCCCACAGTTTTTTTTCACTTATCAGTGGGAGAAAAATAATCATAGCTTCAATATAAGGATTCCAGGAGGCAGACGGTACGCAAAGGCATGAATACTCGTAACGACGTCGGTCAGTTACACCGTAGCACAAAGAAGATTCACCACAGAAATTTAAATCAGCCTGTACACATAAAGGAGTTTCCTTCCAAACAAACAGGAGAAATTCACTTTAGAAGTGTTTGCATCCACGAGCCTTAACAAATATGCAAAAGGTAATTTCTTTTTTTTTTCTTTTTTACCTGTGGTATTGTTCACAATCACATTAACTTGTTCGTTTGTAGTATTCTTGTGTATCAACACATTTCTACAGCAGAACAGTTTAAATCACTGCATCCACTCTTTAAAAAGACCTACAACTACACATCCCAAAAAGTTGATTCTGGATGTCCAGATAAGCAGAATCAACTTTTTGGGGTTTCCTCACCTAGATGATTAAGTATGCATCAAGACACTACAACTACACAATGTAAAGCCACTAAAAAGGTCAAAAAGAGCAAAAGGCAAAAACTGAACAATTATACATATTCTCTCTTAAAACAGAGAATGAGTTTTCAGTGATCACAAGATTAATCACATGTATTAATATGAGACAAAAGAGTCTTACATCTGCACCATCACTCATTCTTAAAAAAAAAAAAACTGCAGTGAGGATTTATTCTTTAAAAATAATTTTAGCTTTGGAGGTGGGAATGTCGCTTTGGTCCAGAAAATATTCCAGTAAACTACTGGAAGTACAGCCTTGAAATTATAATTAGCAGACTTT